TTTTTGTAGTGACCGCTAAAGTGACCTGGCAAACTATGCAACACTTGGCGGACATGACAGAGAGCAGCGAAGCAGAGCTCACGACTCTCGGAAGAACAGGCAGCTAGCAAGGGTCCCTTGACTCGTACAAGCACATCAGTTTGTACATGGGGGAAGTTTTTTGCCAAGGTCAGAAAGAGTTTGGTGGCTCCCATCACCACACCTGTGCTGCTGCTCTTGAGATAGCTGTCCAACAAATTGAGAATATCAAACAGTTCCTCCTCACTGCGGGGTTGGTAGCGGAGCAGAAAGTTCAATACTTCAGCCTGGCCCCACTGATCCAGTTTTGGCATTCTGTTCAAAATGAAAACAAAAGTGCTATTTTAATAACAAACGGAATATTCTTCATATAACTGCCATAAACCAAATAGAGGTTCATCATAACAAAAAGGGGAGAGAATTCTTAAAACAGATTATGCCATGATCAAATTCTTTTTACACTCTAAAACATAATCTTTACAGTCCACAACACAGGCAAATTTGCTATACTTTTCCCAAGGTCTATTTATTTTTGTGTATGAGCATTTTGTCTATATTCAAGTGTACTGCATGCGACCCTCTAGAAGGTCAGAAGAAGGTATTGGATCCCCTAAAACTGGAGTCATAGGCAGTTGTGAGTCACAATGTGAATGGTGGGAATTGAACCTGGGTCCTCTGGAAGGGCAGTCAGTGCTCTTAGCCACTTAGTCATCTCTACAAGAGCCCAGATTTTCTAATTTTAAGATAAATGGCTTAGTTTGGGGGATATAAGAGGAACTACAGAAGTGGAATTTATCTCCACAGTTTGTTTCTACCATCTTTACATATCAAGACAAATACGTCAGAAATTCTCCCAGTGAAATATGAGGAAATTAACAATTGCAGTAAACTTGAAGTTACTTCTGGGCTGGCAAATGGCTCAGTGAGTAAAAGTGTTTACTGTGTAAGCCTAATGATTTGAGTTCTATTGGAACCCACACAAAAGTGGAAGAGAATCGATGCCTCGGAGTTGTCTGACCTTCATACTTCTGCTGTAGCACATGTATACCCAAACCCACATCACCACCTCCATCATACACAATAATAAATAAGACTTAGTTTAATAGATCAACAAGATCATACCATGATTCATATTTCATAACAAAAAGAGCATCCAAACCTATTTAAGAGATGGTGGGCAATGGGCTTATTAATGACAACACCTCCTTCCTGTTTTAAAATTTCCTCTAGAGACCTCAGACAGTTCACAAGCACAATTGGATCCTGGTCACGCAGGAGACTGTATAGCTCATTGACTAGAGCACCGTCTAAAACAGAGACCAAAGATTACAAACAAAGAAAAACTTGAGTCATAGGGGCAGTAATGGCTCTAGGCAGACAAAGCCACATCTCTGCTAAAACAAAAACCAAAATCAAAAGCAACAACAAATAACATCATTTTGGGTATCAGATGGGACATACAAATTGAGAAATTTTCTTCAAAGACTGAAAAGAGGAGCTGGAATAAAAACAAGCATCTGATTTAGAGAGACATGCACAGTCATGAGACACACTGTCATTTTCTACCAAGCAATATAATTTTTTTCTTCCAAAATTATACACAATTGTGCCATAGAGGCACAAGTAAATATTGAGCATGGCAGATGATCTTACCCACTTCAGAGTCTCCATGAAGATTATGCATCTTGGCACAGCCAAGGACTGCCACTCTTCTGACATAGGAAGCCTTATCCCGCAGACCATTAAGAACAGGCTGTTGGATGTATTCCTGCACACCAGGCATCCTGAAACGCAGTCTAGAGTCAGGCAGAACTTGAAATACCAGCTTTGACATATTTAAGTGTGATTTAATAATTCATATTTGAACGTCTATCTGTCAAATCACGATAAATTGGAGAAAACCTCTACCAAATTTAAAAAGCTATAATTTGATTTTTGGGGGGGTTGGAATACTGCTTCAGAGGAAGCACAAATTGTTACAATAATAGCTTATTAAACATCTTTTCTTCTTCTTCTTTTTTTTTTTGTAGACCAGGCTGGCCTCGGACTCACAGAGATCCGCCTACCTCTGCTGGGATTAAAGGCGTGCACCACCACCGCCTGGCCTTATTAAACATCTTTAACTGAAACACAGAATTATTTTACCAAGATAAAGAAAAAACAAATTTAAATAAAACCATGAGATATAGTTTAGAAGGTCAAAATAATGGCTGAAAATCTGAGTTCGAGGAAGAACAGTACTCTCATTAGTATTAGGGAACTTGACTTGTCCTCATTAAAAATCTGCTAATCCATCAGTCACTGAGGGCCAGGCAGGGGTAAAAGTGCTCACCTGAGGCTACACATGCTCCGTAGAGCCAGTCCTCGTACCATTGGGTTGGGGTCGGAGCAGTCTTTGCATAGTGTATTGATAGCCAAGAGCGCCAGATCTGGTTTCAAAGGTGCATATGTGCCCATATACAGATAAACCAACTTTTTCTGAACAATATCTACAGTGGCACTGGCCTTTACCATTTCCATGAAAACACCAGACATGTCCAAGCCCTGAGTCATGTGCCTGTAAAACATAGAAAGAACAGAGAGAAGTAAACACACAATCCCCAATCTGTAAGGGGAATTTTATTTATATATGTTCTGGTTGTCGAACTAAATTATGATCTTTCAGAGAGCTATAATTGTGTCTACCTTGTCTACTGCAATAGATAAAACTTCCTATTATGAGCCTGCAACTGTTGCCTATCTGTTTGACACCTGAATCCTTAGTCCACTGCAAGGAAATGACCCAGAGATGGTATATTCAACTTTATCATTCTGGAGATATGATAAGGGGACAACATCCTTTGAAGGTATAGGCTGAAGAGGGAGCTCAATGGTTAATTGGCATTTGGTTGCCCTTGCAAAAAAGCTGAGTTTAGTTCCCAGCACCCACACGGTAGCTTGTAACCATCCATAACTACAGTTCCAGGGGATCTGAAGCCTTGTGACACACACAGGCACCAGGCATACACGCTGTACACTTACAATGCAGGAAAATTACTCATACACATAAAACTAAAAATGGAAAGCTGGGCATGGTGATGCACAACTGTAATCTGAGCACTTGTTAGGCAGAGGCAGGTGGACCTCTTTGAGTCCGAGGCCAGCCTGGTCTACATAGTGAGTTCCCAGAACTGTCTAGAAGCTGTCTCGAAGCAAAATAAAACCAAACAGAGCAGGAGGCAGGTGTAGCCTCCGATGTCTAGAAATTCAAGATCAACTAAGAAGGCAGCCAAGAATATCACTGATTTAAAAACTCCAGTGTAAGTACGTAAATGGATGCATAGAACACAGACCAAGAATATCCACATCCACATGCTACTATGGAAGTCAGAAAACACTTCTCACAGAATGCTCTAGCTAAACGATCAGTTGGCTCGGCAAATGGGATACAGCTAACAAAACATGCTATAAGGCGTGGACAGGAACTGAACTTTTGTTTTGTTCCTTGGGTGGCATGATACAAAGTGTGGACTTCATTCCACTGGAAGTTTCTAAGTGGAACCACACTACTACATAGAACCAGCTGAGACGTTTCTTAAAAATACAGTCCCTGGATTCTATCTTATCCTACTGAAATCAGAGTCAGTTCCTGGGTCACACTTCTTTAAAAAGCACCCCAAGGGACTTTTGTGCCCTACTAACATTTCTGAGCTATAGCTACAGATTAATTATGTGTTCAAATGTATACAACAGAAAAGTCCTAAATGAAGGGAGGAGACAAGGCCACTTATTAATAAATTACCCACAATAGGCTGTGCTTATGACAGCCTCAGCCAACACTGCAGTCTTAAAAACAAAGACGGGATTTTTACAATTTTTCAAACCACCTGACACCAGTGTCGTCAAAGTTGACTATCAGGTTTAGTAGGATGCCTGGTGACATTCATAACACAAATACAGGCAGAATAGCAGATCTGACGAGGAGAAGAATGCTGGTATTAATTTGGTCGTATCTTTGAAGAACTATCCAGGTAGAAATGTCAAGCAAGCTGAGGGATAAATTGGTCTGCATTGATAATAATAATAATAATAATAATAATAATAATAATAATAATAATAAATGGAGAATTGTACTAGGTTAAGTCATGGCACCATGGGTCAGCAGCATAATTGAGAAGAAACCCTCTTAGCTGGGTAGGGAGACTGAAGTGACTGACAATCCAGAAATGCAGTCTCAAGGCCAAAAGATACAATTGCCTTGTATGCAGGTTCATTTACTTTCTCAAGAGTGGGTGCCGTAAGAGGATTAAAAGTAGGGCTGGGTGGGGAAGGTGGGGGTGCGAATTAGAATTCTAAGGTCGGTGATACCTAATAACTCGCTGGATGACATTCCGGTAGCGCAGCCTATCAGCCTGAATATGAGGGTTACACAGAGCCTTCTTCAGTTCCTTCACCACGTCCTCGGAGCCAAGGTATGGCATCTTCGCCAACAGTCACGGGGCCGTTTCCACAGACCCGTGGCGAATCCGTGGACTCCTTCTAGTCCCGATGTGGGAGCCTGAGTAGAGGAAATGTGGGCAGGGAAAACCCTAAAGGCGAGGTGTCACTTGGCAGTGCCTTCCCCAGGGCGAACACAAATGTCACCCCTCGGGCCTCTGGCGAGCCCGGCCCTGGCCCTTCAGGCGCCGACCGGAGCCTCGTAGGCCGTTCGCTCTGCCCAGCGGATCCCTCAAATATCTCTAGGCCCGGTTAGGCATTCGCTACCAAACCAGTGAATGGCAGATCTAGTACAGCCTTGCCCTACAGGCCCAGCAGCCGAGGCCATCACTCAACGCCCCAGCTACTTCCTGCGGAAATCCCGCCCCCTCGCCCTGCGACGCGCCGAGCGCCGAGTGCAGGCGGGACCGACCTGAGGGCGCCCTTCCCCCCTCCCCCCACGCACACACCTCTCGGCGCAGGCGCGCAGCTTGCCGTGCCGGGGCCGCAACCGGCCATCGGCAATCGGCTACTTGGGTCTGTCTCCTAGCCGCCGCGCGCACTTTGTCAAAGTGTGGGCCCTGGGTTCCCGCGCACGGGTGTGAGTGATGCTCCCGGGGCTTCTTCCGCGTTGGGTTCTTTCACGTTGGCCGTGCCGAGCACGGCCGCCTTCTTTTGGCTCACTCTCGACTTGGTCCACTTCTGGGTTGCTTTTCCCTTGTCCTTGCGTCCGCATGTCGTCGGGACGCAGTCGTGGAAGCCTCACGCGGGAGTGCTGTTCCTGCGAAGACCCCGCGGTTGGCTTTCCAACCCTGCCACCATGAACGGGGTCGTGATCCCCCAAACGCCCATTGCTGTGGACTTTTGGAGCCTGCGCCGTGCTGGTACCGCGCGGCTCTTCTTCTTATCCCACATGCACTCCGACCACACGGTGGGCTTGTCTAGCACTTGGGCACGGCCCCTCTACTGCTCCCCAATCACTGCCCACCTCCTCCATCGTCACCTACAGGTATTGGGGCTGGATTTGGCCTCTGAGACCTCTTTCAGGAATCTGGGTGGGGAGTTACGATCTGTCACAGTTTGGAGATCACAGAGTGGGCGCCTTGAAGACTGAATTTTTACAAATGTGGGAGTTGATCCCAGAATAAGACTAGCCTCCAGCTAGCTAACTGAAGATTTTGAGCTGTAAATTTAGACGAGGAAATTATTCCTATCATTTCATAGACGCTAGGCCAGTACCTCCCTGATTTTAAGAATCCACCAAACTGAGGATGTAGCTCATTGCTGAAGCTTTTGTTAAACATGTGCAAGACCCTAAGTTAGATCCCCAACACTGACTGCCCATCCCCACTAACACATCTATTTTGCTCTCCTGTTCTTGTCTGATTTAGTAGACATGGCCGGTATGAGCCCTGGCAGCCTGACTGGAACTTCCCCGGACACTTGTCTCCCACCCCTGTTGGGATTATGATAGAAGAAGTTTGAGAATCTTTATCTAGATTGTTTTCAGATTCTGAGTTTAAATCGATCCAAAGGGTGGGAGCCAGAAGAGGAAGGACAGATCTTTTGGGAATCTCTATTACAGCTTACGTGAGAGTGTTTCAGGAGTTGGTCAGCTTTCCTTGATGGATGGTATAGTTCCTGATCCAGGAGAGGAGTCTGTGGTTAATAGGGTAACCAACTGTTTCCTCAGGTGTCTAAGCAATGGATCCGAGCACTGGAGATTGGTGAGAGTCATGTATTGCCTCTCGACGAAACTGGGCAAGAAACCATGACTGTAACACTTATAGATGCCAATCACTGTCCTGGTTCTGTCATGTTTCTCTTTGAAGGATACTTTGGAACAATCCTCTACACAGGTGAGCCTCCCGGAAGATGTCCCTCTCTCTTTCCAGCCCTGTCATTTCTGAAGCTGCCTTCACCAAGATTGGTCTTGTAGCTTCATCCCATATAAGCACAGTGACCCTTTCCAACTGATTTCCTACTCTTTGACCATCTAAACCTTGTTAAGAATATGCAGGTAGGGGCAGGAGAGATGGTTCAGAAGTTAAGAGTACTGACTGATCTTCCAGAGGTCCTGAGTTCAATTCCCAGCAACCACATGGTGGTTCACAACCATCTGTAATGAGATCTGGTGTTCTCTCCTGGTCTGCAGGTATGCATGGAGACCAAATGTTGTATACATAATAAATAAATCTTTAAAAAAAAAGAATATGCAAGTAGAAACACAAGAGCAGGCTAAGTGTAGTGGTGGTACAGGCCTCTCTCTCATCCCGGCAGCCTCTGCCTCCAAGGTGCTGGGATTAAAGATGTGTGTGCCACCACCACCTAACTGGAATCTTTTTTTTTTTTTTCTGGTTTCTTTGTGTCACAGCCCTAGCTGTCCTGGAACTAGCTCTCTTGCTTGTAGACCAGGCTGACCTCACAGAGATTCACCTACCTCTGCCTCCTGAGTTGCTGGGATTAAAGGCATGCAGCACCACCACCCGGCTTTGCATTCTTGCTTAGGCAAAACCCCAATGTAAATCTTAAAAACAAACAAACAAGCATAAGAATCCATTAACTAATGCCCACCTGTTGCTAAAGGCGGAAGAGGCTTGTCTTCCATCTTTTGGTCTTTGCCCCCTTCTCCCACCTCCTATGTTGCGCTTCCAGGTGATTTTCGATATACACCATCCATGCTGAAGGAGCCTGCCCTGACACTGGGGAAACAGATTGATACTTTATATCTAGACAACACCAATTGCAATCCAGCTCTGGTTCTTCCTTCTCGACAAGAAGCCACTCGGCAGATTGTCCACCTCATTCGGCAATTCCCACGACATAACATAAAGATTGGTGAGTGCTTCCCTTTTTCTCTCGTTCGTGCTTAGTGAACCTAAATTCCTTGAAGGTTCTCATTGTTTTTCAAGTCTTTGTGCAGGCCTCACCCTCCTTGTAAAACCTACTATGATAATCTAATTTAAAATTGAACTTCCCAGCTGGCTTTGTGGTTCAAACCTTTAATCTCAGCACTCAGGAGGCAGAAGCAGCCTGTTCTACTAGTGAGTTCCATTGAGTAAGACTCTGTCTAAAAAACAAACAACAATTGAACCTGCCCACCATCATTCTCAACCCTTCCCCCAGCTCTGGTATTAACTCTAGGGTCTCACATTTGTTAGGCAAGTAATCTACCATTGAACCCTCTTCTTTAAAATGTTTTTATTCTTAGTGCTAAGATTACAAGCTAACACAGCCAGTTTGTATAGTGCTGGCATTGAACCCAGGGGTTTTGTACCTGCCAGGCAAGCACTCTGTCGACTGAACTACATCCTTAGCCCCAGACTTACTCATTTGTATAGTACCCGTCACGTCCCGGTGTGTTCTGTACATATTTAAGTACGCTGTTGCTTGTATCCCTGATAACGTACACACACACACCAGTGTGAACTATAGCTCACTTTTAATCCCAGTACTTGAGAAGCAGAGACAGGCAGATTTCTGAGTTTGAAGCTAGAAGAGTTTGAGGCCAACCGGTCTGCAGAGTGAGTTCCAGGACAGCCAGTACTACACAGAGAAACCCTGTCTTGGCTGAGGGAAGAAAGAAAAGAAATTGTAGTGGCATTTTAAGTGTATTTTAATAAATAAAGCTACCTAAAGAGCTGAATAAAACAGCCCCACTGGTCAGCCTTACAGATCAGGTAATAGTAACACACACCTTTAATCACAGTAGTCATACTAGTTGCCATAGAAGCCGGGTGGTGCATGACTTTTAATACCAGTGGTGCACGCCTTTAATCCCAGCCCTAGAGAGGATTATAAAACCGGAGGAGACAGCTCTCACACACAGTCTCATTCTAACATTCCTAGATCGCCGTTTGGACTGAGGTCAAGGTAAGAGCCAGTGCTGGCTGTTTTGCTTTTTGGATCTTCAGGTTGAACCCCAGTTTCTCTTTTTTTATTAATTGTGCTTCAGAAAACTCTTAAGAGGGCTGGAGGGACAGCTGTGTGATTAAGAGCACAGGCTACTCTTTCAGAGGACCCACATTCAGTTCCCAGCACCCACGTGGCAGCTCACAACTACCAATAACTCCAGTTCCAGGGGATCCAATTTCTCATCTCACCTCTAAAGGCTTCTGCACACATGTGGTACACAGGTACACAGACAGACATACACTTAGGCTCACATCCATACACATAGAATAAAGTAAATAAATAGGTATTTTTTTAAAAAAAGAAAAGAAACCCCAGAAAGGTAAGAGGAAGCTTTGTGTGTCAGAGAGGCAGCAGGCAGTGCGACAGATATATAGTAGATGAGGCTGAAAGGCAAGAGGGTTGGAGTGTACTAGCCATTTTGAATTGATTCTAAACTCAATGAGGAGCTGTTAAATGGTTCAAGTGAAAGAGGAACAGTATTCCGCTTGTCTCATAATATATATTCCATAGTTTCCTTGTGTAGTCCTTTTAGCTGTTACTGCTTCTTCTGCTAGAATGTAGGTTCTACCATGACAAGGTTCTTTATCTCTTGTGGCTATATCCTAAGTGCCTACAGAATGAGAAAGAGGTGGTCAATAAATATTTGCTATGTGAGTTAATAAGAAGGTTGGCGTGCTTTAAATAGGTGAATTGAGAAAACAACTGTTTGATTGTTCTGGTGACTCCCTAGTAGTACACAATATTTTGGGGATTTTTTGTTTGTTTGTTTGATTTGGTTTTTGTTTGTTTGTTTGGTTGGTTTTGGTTTTTTGAGACAAGGTTTCTCTGTAGCTTTGGTGCCTGTCCTGGAACTAGCCTCCAACTCACAGCAGTCTGCCTGCCTCTGCCTCCCAGGTTCTGGGATTAAAGGCGTGGTCCACCACCACCCAGCTATTTTGGGGACTCTTAAAGTTGCTTTTTGAGAAATAGTTTATGAAGATCAACTTTTCTATAAAAACAAAACAAAAACACAGCTTTTGTTCTAAATAACTTCTTTAGTTACTCCTAAAATTATAGGTCCTCAAAAGAGGAAAATGAATATCTCTTTTGGTTTTTCGAGACAGGGTTTCTCTGTGATGCCCTGGCTGTCCTGGAACTAGCTCTTGTTGACCAGGCTGACCTCAAACTCACAGAGATCCGCCTGCCTTTGCCTCATGAGTGCTGGGAAAGGCGTGCGCTATCACTGCCCAGCCAGAAAATGAATATATCTTAAAGCATATGTCCCAACTCTGAAAGGAGTTTCAAAATGGCCTTAAATAAAAATAATGAAAAATATTATGTGCCTTCCACAGTAACTACCAAACTGATTGGGAAATAATCCTCACCCTCAGGATTACTTAACTATTCATGAAGAAATACTCTCTGACCACTCTTGAAGTATGACATGCAGAATTTTCTCAGAGAAATACGGCTGGTTAGGAGAGTGCCTGTGGTAGAGCTTAATTAATTTTGCGAAAATATAATTAGTCTTGTAATGTGTCACATATACAGTAGGCGGTGGGGATATAAATCTAAATAAAGCATGGTGTCTGGTGGTAAGAGCTTCCTGTCTATTAAGGAAGGACACAAACTAGGAAAAAGATGTATAGAGAGCAGAAAACCTTTTTGCTCAGAGGTGAAATTTGGATCATAATCAAGGGTAGTGGATATACAACAAACTTTCTAAGTTCATGGTTTAGTCGTGAGGCTGTAAAGTCTGAGAACAGTGGTTCAATACCCTGTCCTGTATTTCTTACCGTAGCCATTGCTAAAATTCACATCTGCGTTTCTTCTGTGTGCATACCTTTGGCCTTCAGATGGAATTTCCACATTTAACAGCTCTGTCATGTTTTGGTCGTAGTAGTCTGATGATTAGAATTCATACTTTTCTACCTCACACTGCTCAACAGCCCCGCTTCATCTATAGCATGAGGTTCTAACTCTTTGATTTTTTGAGACAGGGTTTCTCTGTAGCTTTTGGAGCCTGTCCTGGAACTAGCTCTTGTAGACCAGGCTGGCCTCAAACTCAGAGATCTGCCTGCCTCTGCCTCCCAAGTGCTGGGATTAAAGGCGTGTGCCACTACCACCTGGCAGTTCTGTTTTTCAGTACTTGGAAGGCCCACTAATAAATGACATTGGTTAGGCTGGAGAGATGGCTCAGCCATTAAAGGCTAGGCTCATAACCAAAAAGTGCCATAGCTCACTAATCATCTGTACTTTAGTAACACTGAGGTGGGTGCTCTTCAAATATTTTTACTATACCCTTTCCTTTGCTGGTTAACCCTGATCTATCCTTTAAGATATAGCTCAGTTTCCTTTGAGCCAGAACGATCATCTTCCATTAATTTGCCAAAATGACAAGCACAAAGGAGAAGAGGAAATTTACCTGATGTCTCTAAGTCTCTAGGCCTTTTGGAAAACATGGAGGTATTCCTTTGGCTACATATGTGTGAATGTTCAGGCAAGTGGATATTATTGACATCAAAAGACTGGATTCCGTTCAAAAAGGATGTGTTATAATTACTAGCATTACCCAGAATGCTCTTGGCATTGTTGTAAACAAGCAAGTTAAAGATAAGGTTCTTGCCAAGAGGACTTTGAGCATATGGAGCACTACATGGAGTGTAAGGACACATAGAACAGGTGAAGGGAAATGGTCAGAAAAGGGAAGGCCCCAGGTTCATCTGTAGTGCCCACCTGTGCTGCCCAGAGACGCACTCACCATGGGAACCCGTGGAAAGTAGCCCATGTTGATCTGTGAGTTCATGGCTTAATAGAGATAGGTAAATAAATAAATTGGCTCTAGATCATTCAAGCAAGGTTTTTGTTGTTTTTAAAAATGGAATGCTTCGAGAATTTATATGTCACCTTTGTGCCGAGGCCATGCTAATCTTCTCTGTATCGTTCCAGTTTTAGTATGCGTGCTGCCAAAGTGAGCACGAGGGAGGTTTTTTTTGGTTTTGTTTGTTTGTTTGTTTTTAATTAACTGGAAGTGTGCTGTTTTCTTCCCCAATTAATACTTAAGTTTCCATCACCTACCAAAAAACTGGACCTGGCACAATGGTCATTTGTCACTTTATAGAAGCTTTTCCTAATTTCCTCAGCTTCTGTGTCTTTATAACACTGCATGCATGTGTATGCCGTTGCCTTTCTTTACATTGTGTCTGAGTCTGCAGGTGAATGGTCCTCCTGGAAAGCTTAAACCTTCTTAATCTGTCTGTTCTCACAGTGCCTAGTGCTTGGTAGACACTTTCTCTTGTTGAACTGAAAGGATAAATGGATTTTTGTGTGCTCCATATCCGCATTTGCTAATTTGTTTTTGTTTTTCGAGACAGGGTTTCTCTGTGTAGCAGTTCTGGCTATCCTGGTACTCACTTCATAGACCAGGCTGACTTTGAACTCAGAGATCTATCTGCCTCTCGAGTGCTGGGATTAAAGGCGTGAGCCAACACTGCCCTGCCTGCGTCTGCTATATATCCTAAATGCATTTCCTTCTGATGCACTTCCTGGATTACCACATAGATTTTGCATATTTTTGCTAAACATCAGTAGTTCAGGAGTCTTTAATACCTTCATTGTCTTCTCTTCCCCCACCCTTGAACGTAATTTAGGACTCTATAGCCTAGGAAAAGAATCACTGTTGGAGCACCTCGCCCTCGAGTTTCAGACCTGGGTGGTATTGAATCCTCGACGCCTGGAGTTGGTACAGCTGCTGGGCCTCGCGGATGTGTTCACGGTTGAGGAAAGAGCTGGGCGCATCCATGCTGTAGACCACACGGAGATCTGCCATTCTGCCATGCTTCAGTGGAACCAGACTCACCCTACCATTGCTATTCTTCCCACAAGCCGGCCAATACGGAGCCCTCACCCAGGCATCTACACCATCCCTTACTCGGACCATTCGTCTTACTCCGAGCTGCGGGCTTTCGTTGAGGCTCTGCGGCCCTGCCGGGTGGTGCCCATTGTCCGTCAGCAGCCTTGTGGAGAGTTCTTTGAGGACAGCTTGAGTCCTAGGCTCTCTATACCCCTGATTCCGCACTCGGTGCAGCAATACATGTGCTCCTCCCCTAGGAAAACACACGTGCTCTGGCAGTTAGCAAGGAGACTAAAGAGGCCAAGAATCCAGGGTGTTGTGTTTGAATCCCCTGAGGAAAAAGCTGATCAGGCGAAAGTTGACAGAGACTCAAAGAAGGACAAGAAAGAAAACCTCTCTCCCAGGCCTGAGGACCCTGAGAAGCTCTCCCTGCACCCTCTGCAGGCCAGGAAGCAGTTGTTCCCAGACTCCTCCAGGGAAGACTGTGAGGAGCCGGTCCTTCTTTGGGACCCCAAGAAGATGACGACTTTGGATCTTTCAGTGCAATCGCAGCCTGAAGATGAGTTTCTCTCTGCAGAAACCAGGGAGGAAACTGGCTTAGGGTCCCCCTTGATACCGAGGGTGGGCAAGGACTCACCAGCTCGAGGGACCCAAGGAAGCCTGGTAGGCTATGATTCTCCCCTGTCTCGCATTAGCAGAGACACTCATCCAGCTGCCGAGTCCAGGGGCCTGGCACTAAAATACCTTCTTACCCCAGTGAATTTCTTTCGAGCAGGCTTCTCTTCTAGGAACTTTGACCAGCAAGTGGAAAAGTACCAGCAGAGTATACAGTGTCACAATCCTGATGGGTCGCTGCGGTGTTGAACAGTGGGTGATGGCCAGTGGCTAAAGTTTGGTGTCTTCCTTTACAGAATCCTGTGGCTCAACCTGGAGTAACTCTTCTGAAGCTTGTTGATGGAGTCCTGGTGCCTATGAAATCCTTAGCTTTATAGCTGATAATTATTATTTATGTTAGTTTTATTATTTTTAACATCTTTATTATAAAATATCCAGTGTTCATAAGCACATTAAAAGTTCTTAGTCCCATAGCTACTTAATCTGTTCAACTTGGTTTAACCCAGTTTTTCTTAAACTTTTAGCAACATGCAGGGGTTTTTTTGTTTGTTTTTGTTTTTTAGTGGAAAAGGTAGAATCTGAATCAAAAATGAACCGGGTTTGTCCCATGTGTCATATTCCTCAGGCCCCCTTCATTCTATTCCTAGATAAAAAGTCCTTAAGTTATTTATTTTCAAATTGTAAATCATGGTGCTGGAGAATAAAGTGGTAGCTTGGGCAGCATGTTCTAATTCTGAATATCACTGATTTGCTGTGACCCCATCCAGGTAACTTCCTGTCTCTGCCTCAGGGAGGGAACAGGAAACCATGAAGAGATCTTGAAACTGTTGAGAAAATAGCACCTTCCTCTTTCATGAAGGCGGTTAGTAACTGTCATGAGAAATCCACCTGGAACAGAGCCATTTGGGGGTAGGGACCTGGACTGGAATAAACTTGACATTAAGGCTTAGAACATGTCCGAGCTACTGGATACTTGGAGACACTACTTTGTTAAAGCTATAAAAGATAAATATGCTACCAGATATTCCTCTGATTGTTCACATAGCTGGGATTCCCCCCCACCACCACCAATCTGAGTTAGGAAGCCAGAGTGCAGAGCATGTTTTATAGTATCCAGGGGGAGAGACCAAGGAGCCCGCTAGCTGGAATGGGTCAGAGTGTGCAGTTTACCCTGTCCCGCCCATAACCTAACAAAATGCCAAGTCTGTAAGCAAGTCAGCCGATAGCACAGCCCAGAAGAACGTGCTCAGGGAGGGCACAGGCGAGGAACTGGGCATAGGAGTAAAAGCAGCTTCAGCATGAACCCTTGAGCCTTAGCAATGAAGATGACAGTCTCTTACCCTTGGGAAGGAGAAGTGAAATTCAGAGAGCAAAGTAAGGCTATGATCGTGAACACACTGTACCTGCTCTTCTTGTCAGTGACCTTCCTATAACCTCTGAGGGCCATAGTAGCTGCAGCAGGTGAGGTATGTGGTACAGCAGGAAACCTGGACATCGTCTGGGCTGGAATCCAGGGCACCTGGCAGATTGTTTATAGAGGAGCCTTACTCCGCTGTAAAGTGGGGGCTGAGATGCCTATCTCCAATGATTGCTATGTAGATTAGATTATTGGTCAAATTCCCTAGCTCTGTCTCTGGGACATGACAGTATGTCAGATATGGGTTTTTGTAGCTAAAGGTATAACACTGGTAAGATGTGTATTTAGCAAGCTAAAATCCTGGGTTCTATCCTGAGTGCCACCAATAATAATAATAATAATGATAATAATAATGTAACAAAGTCTTGATTCTCTTTAGTCTTCAAAACAATTCTCTGCTAGTTCCAGTACAGGCACCAAAGTTACAGAGAAACCCATCTCAAAAAGCAAACAAACAAAAAAACCTCTAAAAATACAAAATAAGCCAGGTGGTGGTATACGCCTTTAATCACAGAAGAAGCAGGTGGATCTCTTGAACCACCCCTCCCTGCCCCCCAAAGATGCAAAATAAACTGTCTTCCATGTAGACTGATTGAGTCCTTTTCTGGTCTTTCTGAGGATTTAAATATGTTAAATGTATGCATTTCTGAATTAAGATAATTCACACGTGTGTTCCTGCACACACACACACAGAGTGATTTTTTTTTAATGTGAAGGGTGTTGGAGAGATAGTCCGATGGTTAAGAGCTCTCGCTGGAGAGATGGTCCGATGGTTAAGAGCTCTCACTGCTCCTGAGGACCTGGATTTGGTCCCCAGCATTCACATAGGGTGGGTCATAACCACCTGTAGTAACTCAGGTTCCGGGGGAGTCTGATGCTCTCTGACCTCCATAAACAACTGCACATAAACTCGCGCAGCCTCACACAATACACAAATAAAAATAGATTTTAAAAAGACTTTAAAGAGTCCAGTGAAATGACTCAGTGGATAAAGGCACTTGCCACACAAACTGGTGAACTGGGTTCAACCTCCAGAACCCACATAAAAGTGGAGGAGAATTGAGTCCGTCAAGTTATCCTCCAGCTGACTGTCATGCATGCCTACACACAAACAATAGTTAAGGGCGGGGTAGGGGACTGAGAATAATACTGTATATGGCTTTAAATGCTGTTTTCTTAATTGGGATTCAAAACGCCAATATAAAAAGCCTATTTTGCCGGGCGGTGGGGGCGCACATCTTTAATCCCAGCACTCAGGAGGTAGAGGCAGGTGGATCTCTGTGAGTTCGAGTCCAGCTTGATCTACAAGAGCTAGTTCTAGGATAGACTCCAAAAGCTGCAGAAAAACCCTGTCTCAAAACCCACCCCCCCACACACACACAAAAAGCCTATTTTAATAGGGTCATGTCATGTGGATAAATGTTGTTAATAAACCATTCTAAATTATTAGAAATTATAACAAATTATTCAACATTTGCATACTTTTTTAAAAAAACCTTTAGATCATTTTATGTGTAAGTGTTTTGTTTTGTAAATGTTGTGTGGACTGCATGCATGCCTGGTGCCCGTGGAATTCAGGATAGACTGTTGATTTCCCTAGAACTGGATTTATGGATGTTTATGGGTGTTGGAAACTGGACATGGGGGTCCTCTCCAAGAGCAACAAATGTTAACTGCTGAGCCATTTCTCCAGCACCTTTATACTGTTCTTAATTGTGAATATTACAATAAACTTTTCTCTTGACATTGCGGGGGGTCAAACTCAGGGCATGGAACATGCGAGGCAAATGCTCTGCCAGTGAGCCGCATTTCCAGCCCTACAAGGAACATACCAGTGCATATACCTTGGCATGTTAATTTATATCCTTACAGTAAATGATTAAAGAATTATTGTTTTCTGTTCTTGGTATAGATTATGACAAATGACCCTCCAGGAAAGTCTCCATTATTTTTGCAGAAGATGATAGCAAGGTCAGATGAAATTATTAGAATGACACATTAGCATGTGCCAGTTCCTCTTGTGTTGCTGATTAACGTTTAGTAGCAATAGTTTAATAACACTTAGTGCCGCCCTTCCCCCGCAGGTGGCTGGGAGAGATAAAGCTGGCGCTAGCATCAGGGCCACGGTAGTGTTGTTGTCTTCTAGCAGCAAGGGGCCTGCCTGCTTTCGGCACATGCTGTGTCATACATGCTCCTTGAAGCGTTTTTGTGAAGGCAGCTGAGAGCAGAAGGAAAGGCTTTGAGGAATTTAGCATTTGGTACTATGTTTATGCTTTAATAATGAGAAGACCCCATCCCGTTTTACTAGATAAAAATCCCCGAAGTCAGAGAGATGGGCAGTTGCTTTGATTGCACAGAACTCTTACGTAGTAACACTGTTCCGTCTATCTGTAAGTCACCAATTAAAATGACCTTATTTTTAGAATCTCAACATGACTCTCCCCGCCCCCAATATATGACAATCTTTCAATTAGGTTGAAAGGTGCCTGGGGGAAAATCCCCTAGAGATTCATTAGTGACTTGTTTCGTGCTCAGTGGAGATCCTGTATTTTTCCACAGGCTCAAGTCCCTCTCTGGGGCGGGGAAGGGGATCTTCCTGGCAGGCTTTGAGGGACCATCTCTCACTGCTGACCCAGATTGCCCTTCGTGGTAGGAAATAATAGGAGACGTGTGACTTGGCTTTTGTGTGTGTGTGTGTTTTTGTTTTTTTTGTTTTTTTGGAAAGAGCCTCTGACCTAGGTTCTCCAAGGCAACTCCCAGAGAGACAGTTCTTTCTGCATTTTTAAAGGTATGAGTATATGCGTGTCTTGCCATATGTCATATATGTCAGTGTGCCACATGCGTGCCTGGTACCTGGTGCTTGACCGTGGAGCCAACTCTCCAGCATTTCTTTTTGCATTTTTGAAGTGGTTGTTGTGGTTTTCTAGTCAGGGTTTCTCTATGTAGCCCTGGCTATCAGGGAACAGACCAGACTGACCTCAAACTCAAAGATAAGCCACCCCACCCCCTCCCCCCGTGCAGGGATTAAAGGTGCACACCGCCACACACGCTTCTTGAGTAGTTCTTAAACCGAAGTTCTGTGTGAGCGTTCACACGCACATTTTTGCTCCTTTGCCTCCCAAAGAACCCTAGCAGAAACTTTCTATCAGGGCTCAGGTGCTTCCCCTCTCTCCTCCGCAGGACATCCCGCCTATACCTGAGCTGGAGGTGCTTCTCTCGGGTCTCATCAGTTTGTCCTGCCCTCGAGGGATTCACAGACTGGTTCCGTTTCTCTTTTGACCACAGTGTGTGTTTATTTAATGATGCCCCTCTACCTTAACTCTTTGTGTTTAACTTTCTTTCCCTTTTTATTTTAAATTATGTTTATTTGTCAGTACATGGGTATGCGTGTAACACCCGATTCTGTGTTACCCTCTCGGTACAGTTTGCGCGCCTCTATACCGACCACGAGTGGGGCAAAGGCCTGGAAATTGAAAGAAACACACAAGAGACCTGGGTCATTCGAAAGGAGATCAGCCGAATGCCACTTTATTCAGCTCTTTACAAAACTAATATACTTTGGCTGCTGCAAAAGGATTTCCTCCCGGGCTGGTGGGAAATTACCATATCAAAGATGAAACAATGCCCTACAGCTAATCACCCGGCTAGGGCAGAGGCAGCACAGAAGCAAACAGGATGCTTAGCTGGCTGGCCAGAAACTGTCCTCAAATTTCACCCCAAGGAGCCAGGGTAGACCGGGCCCTACATATGTGTGCATGTGTACCCACAGAGGCCAGAGGCATTGGAGTCCCTAGAACTGGGGTTGTAGCAAGCTGTGGGTTGCAGAACATAAGCTCTGGAAATGAACTGGGATCCTCTGGAAGAGTAGCAAGTGCTCATAATAACTGAGCCGTCTCTCCAGCCCCTGCTTTCTCGTCATTAAACATACCTGCGGCCCACTAGATCACAAGAATATCCCCAAATCTTGACCTTGTTTCTATTTCTAGACATATAGCTTATGAATCACCTTTCAATCATAGAAAATTTCTGGCTGGGTTTAGGTTAGTCATAACCAGAAGGACTGTTAGCCAAAACACTCAAGGATACATTTGTCCTAGTGGAAAAAGATTGGCGTGAAATGGTTAGTTCCAAGTGCTATGGTAAGTTTAACTGGAAAATTCTCAGACAAGGCCAGGAGCCAACAGAAGAATAAGTGGTAGATCAGAGGGCCCAAATCTAGTTACACAGAGCAGAGGAGTCTGGGGCAAGCACTTTAGAATATTGAAGGTAAGTGGGGCTAGGTGACCTGTTTGATCTGATTCTAGGTCCTATGCCATCTTTATAAATCATTAGCTTTAAATCAGTTCTGGCTTTCTTTTCAACTCCTACATAAGAAGGTAGAACCACTCACTGGAAAAGAACACAGGAGTTTCACCACAAATTTTAGCCTGTGGTGTCTTCAAAGCTGCTTTTCATTCCCATGTGTCCTTGATCCCTATTCTGTGTGCCTTGGTGGTTATTCCAAACCTTTATGATTCAAACTGTTGCAACATACGAAGCCCTAGGAAGAAATCTGGAGTCCCAAGCCATGACGCCCTGAAGCAAGACCCTTGAAACTCAGAAATGTCTGATTGCTCACGCTCATCCCAAGGACGTCAGAATTGAATACTTCTGTACTTTGCAGCTCAATTTAAACCCTGGGCACTCAGGAGTTCAGTCTTTAAGGTCTTACCCTCACCCATCTCTTCCTCCTTCACCAGGCCTAGGTCTGTGATAAGCAAATTCCTGTCTTCAGTGTCCTACAGACTCCATTACCTCCCATTGCTAAACTGAAGACTGGTCGTTCTCTGAGCACAATGCTTTCTGGCAAGCCTCTCTAAGACAAGCTACTTTGCCAGACTTGCTGGAACATTCCTGTAATTCCAGCACTTAGGAGGTGGAGCAATTGGACCAACAGTTCAAGGTCATACTCCGCCACACTCTAAGTTTGAGGCCAGCTTGTAGAAGTCATTTTTCTCCCCCCAGTGCACAAGGTATGAAGTGAGGTTGAGGTCCTCCTTGCTCCTCTTGCCGCTTTCTGTTATCCTATTTTCTGCCTGCGGTGATGGCTGCCATCTGGCTAGACCATCCTTGCCTCTCCCAGTTTAAGACCCGAGTCACTGACTCAGAACTCCTCCTTCATAACTCTGTCATCTTGTTAGGTGATGTCAGTGCTGCGGATGCCCAGGTTCTCATCTCTAAAGCTTTAATCTCGGTCTTTGCCACCCTGTCATTACCAGAATTGTGCTACACCCGGAATTTCAACTCGAAATTATTCTTTCTCCCAGTTGACTTTGCTCAAGGACCTGCATGGCCAATGTTTTGCTTTCGTAATTCTGTAAGCTTCAATTCCTGCCTTTACTTGACTGTCTCCCATGACCCATCAGGATAATACCACTTCCTTAGTCTCTCTTACGAAAACAGTCTTGCTTTGAGAAACCCCACATCTGGATAAATCATACTGTCCTGCCTGCACTGGGGCGGCTGTGTGTTTTCTGGAGAAATGACTCATCCAGGCTATTTTCATTTTATTTTAAAGCAAGATCTTAGAAAATGACTTAGTCAGGA